ACCTCTATCATATCCCCCCTCAGTCTCCTCTTTTCTAAGCTGAAAAGTCCCAGTCTCTTTAGCCTCTCTTTATATGGGACCTGTTCCAAACCCCTAATCATTTTAGTTGCCTTTTTCTGAACCCTTTCCAAGGCCAAAATATATTTTTTGAGGTGAGGAGACCACATTTGTACACAGTACTGAAGATATGACGTACCATCGTTTTATACCTGCCCTCCTCCTTCTTCCCCTGGCTTCCCCCTTCCAGCTCCCTCCTCCCAGGTTTCCACCTCCCCTCTCCCACCGTCTTTCTTCCCCGCTCCCACCGCCTTTTCCCAGTCTCCCCAGAGATTAACCCCTCCCCCCAGTTTTGTTAAATAAAGAGAGTTTCTATTTTTGAACACACATTTTGTTTATTTTTTACACCAGGAAGGGGGGTTAGGGAGGGGTAAGTGGAAGGAGGTGAGAGAGGAATGGGACCCGAGCCCCCAATGGGGAGGACTGGGGTGGCTCTGCGGGCTCCTTGGGGTGGAAGCTCTCCTGCAGCCCCCCGATTGACCCCACTCCCCGGATGGCAGCCTGCGGCAAGTGCAGCCGGTCTGATGGCCGAGTCCTGTGATGTGCCGAGTGTGGGCACTCAGGGCACTCCAAGCCAGGACTGCTTTGCTGTCCCTCATCAAGTTAGACACGTGAGCGGGGAACCCCTGAGAACTGTCTGTCCAGGGTGGGGGTCGGGTCCCTTTAAGCACAGCCCTCGGCTAGCCTGAGACAGCAGCTCCACGCTGTCCTAATCTGATGCCCTGCCGGCACTGCTTCCGGCCAGCCTTAACCCCGGTTCAGGGTCCACATACCCTAGAAGACAGAGATAGGGGTCAGACTGCCAGGAAAGTATCATTACTGATTCCGAGCTGAGGCAGCTCTTACCTGACTATGTCGCTGCTTCAGTTTGATCTTGATGAGAAGAATGAGGCAAACGAGAGAGACCGCCACAAAAAAGGCGAGGAATATCCCCATGTCAAAGTACTCTGTGGGTTGCTTAGAAGTGAAGAAGACAGAAGAAGTTTAACTTGCCTCCCCATGCAGATCACATTCAAATCCATTGCTATGCCCCTCAAATCCATTTCCCCCTTCTCTAGTTTCTTGATAATTAAGGTTTCCATGAATGCCCTGGGGGCCTGAACTCCAAGGCTACGTCTACACTGGCCCCTTTTCCGGAAGGGGCATGTTAATTTCAGCTATCGTAGTAGGGAAATCCGCGGGGGATTTAAATATCCCCCGCGGCATTTAAATAAAAATGTCCGCCGCTTTTTTCCGGCTTTTAGAAAAGCCGGAAAAGAGCGTCTACACTGGCCCCGATCCTCCGGAAAAAGCGCCCTTTTCCGGAGGCTCTTATTCCTACTTCCAGAGTCAGCAGCAAGAACCTGCTTTTGGAAGCACCTTCTTTGAAGGTGAATGTAGCACCACAGATGTCTAACTGCATATGCATATGACGACTGTCACAGATTATGCATATGCATATGATGACTAGCTGGTGTAGATCTCCATGAGAGGGGAGATCTATAAATCTAAGGCATCTTGCAGGGGGACTCTGGGTTTGATCTTGTCAACATGGGAGCATCAATCTGGATCAGCAGAAGCCCGGCTCCACCCCTCTTCAAAGTAGGAATAAGAGCCTCCGGAAAAGGGCGCTTTTTCCGGAGGATCGGGGCCAGTGTAGACGCTCTTTTCCGGCTTTTCTAAAAGCCGGAAAAAAGCGGCGGACATTTTTATTTAAATGCCGCGGGGGATATTTAAATCCCCCGTGGATTTCCCTACTACGATAGCTGAAATTAACATGCCCCTTCTGGAAAAGGGGCCAGTGTAGACGAGCCCCAATAGTAGAAAAGGTCACTGCAGTTGTTAGCCTCTCTCTTGACCAGTTGCTCATGATCCCTGACTGCATGAGCCAGAATCTTTGGTCAATACCTTTGAGTGAGGTCAATTCATATTATTTTATGAAACTCCATGTACTTAATAGTGAATATTCAGGGTGCCCTTTACAATCAATACAAACTGGGAGGAAGTCACATTTGTCACAGGAACCTAAGTGTGTGGTGGGACACAGCCTTAGCAAATAAGGTTTACAGAAGCTCTGAACTCAATGCTGGTTCTACAAACAACAGGTTTCCCCCAGAGTGAATCACAGTTACCAACAGCTCCAGTGGGTTTTTGGTACAATTCTCTTTCCGAAGCAAGTAAAATCACATCTGAGTCCTTGGCCAATCACTGATTGATCAAATGAGTCACGCTTCCTAGTAGCGCTGATGCTTTAGGAATCCAGTAAAAATGAACTAGAAACCTGGTATACTCTTATTTTTATGTTCTCTTTTCTCATAAACTATATCTAAGAAGTGTTCAAGCTGTCTTGGGAATATCCATTTGTGACGGGGTGTTAGGTCCCCACGAGGCGGAACTCCCCGAACCTCGCACTAGCTAGCGGGGAGAGGAGGCTCTCTGGGCTCATGGAGCCGCTCCCGCGCCATGGTACCAGGGCTGTTCCATGGCCACCGCTGGTACATGCGCAGAAGAGCTTGGGGCCAGCTTGCCAGCCAGTGGGACAGCGCCTGCACCAGCATCCCAAAGGAATGGCGCCGGCTTTGAAAAGGTGTCGGCCCCTACAGCAAGGGGTGGCGGACTGGAGGCGAGGACTGCGGACCATCGGCCTCGTCAGGACACTGGCTGTACGGGGTGGAGAGATGGGCAGTGGACCGGCGACTCCCTCACAATGGGAGAAGGCTTCTCAACCCCCAGGGTGGGCCCAGAGACAGGGGAATTGACAGCACTGGATGGGATCACGCGGTGAGACGCGGTCGGCGGCATAATCACGGACCAATGTGACGAAGGGGGTAGGAAGTAACCCAGGACGAGCGGAAAATGGATGACGGGCCATGGGTAAGGCCTCGTTGGAGCCCGCGGGTTGGTGCGTTGCAGGACGAGTCCCCACCAACCAAACAAGTCCCTGCTCTTAGGGTCCTGGAGTGGGGGTGGGACCAGTCCCCCCTACCCTCTACGAGTGGGCCAAGTAAACATTTAGGACTATTGACTTTGTTCAAGAGACTTGAGACTTAATTGTGTGGGGTGCGGGACTTGTGGGGAGCACATAGGGACATTGGTGACGGGAAAGGAGGGAGGGCGGCTGCTGAAAATGGCATATATCCGCTCACAATGATGAGATACACTGGTGCCTGAGCGAGCATTGACCGGAGGGAGTAGACCCACGCTGGGACAAGTGGTGGATAATGTGGGTACTTGACCCCAAACCCTGTAACTAAGGGAAGGAAGAAAAAAAAAAAAAGAGAGAGAGGAAAGTGAGCGTAGAGGGGCCGAGGTCAAAATGGACCCGGCTAAGATGTTTGAGTGGTTAGCTGAACACCAGCGGCAACAGCAGCAGCAACAGACTCAGTTGCTGCAGCAATTGGCAGCTCAGCAACAAGAGCAGCAAAGACAGTTGTTACGAGAACTAGTGGACCAGCAGCAAGCACAGCAGGAGAGATGGCTCCAGCAGGGAGCAGTCATGGGGCGGGCCAGCATGGGAGCCCCTATGGGGGTAGAAGAGGGACCCGGGGGTGTCCTCTAGTTGCCAATACGCCTGTCTAAGATGGGGCCTCAAGATGACCCAGAAGCTTACTTTGTAACGTTTGAGAGGGTGGCTACAGCCGCCAGGTGGCCCGAGGAGCACTGGGCCACCCTCCTGGCCCCCTATTTATCAGGGCCTGCACAACTGGCTTACCGTAGTTTAGCAGCCAGGGAGGCCCTAAACTATTTTAAGATAAAAGAGGCCATTCTGGATCAAGTCGGGGTGACCCCAGAGACATATAGGCAGAAGTTTAGACAGGAACAGTACTCACTGGGGGCCTGTCCCCGGGCAGTGGCCCAGAAGTTGCATGAGGTTTGCTGGAGATGGTTAGAGCCTGAGCGGCGCACTAGTACGCAGGTAGCCAACCTCATAGTACTGGAGCAATTCATCCATATTTTGCCAGCAGAGGCACAGAAGTGGGTGCGAAGACACCGCCCTACGGCCCTAGCCAATGTTGTCACCTTAATGGAAAATTACTCGGCATCTGAGGCACCCAGCCCTGGGGAGAGCTCGGTGCCCTCGAGGAGGTAGAGGCCGGGAGCTGTGGGGACCCTGGAGAGGGCTGAAGGACCTAAGCCTGTAGCCCCAGGATGGGAGGTTCCGGGCATGGGGCAAAGGGAAAGAATAGGTAAACAAGAAGGGATGGATCGGCCATTGAGAGAGGAGGGACCCTCTCGAAGCCGCTGCTATGAGTGCGGGCAAGAGGGACGTTTTCATAGAAATTGCCCTTTTATGGATTGTTCTTCTGGACACGTAATACCCGCAGACCAGAGAGCCCGCCCTCGTGATAACACCAAGATGGTGGTGAGGGTGAAGGTGGAGGGAGTGCCTGTATTGGCTTTGGTGGACTCGGGCTGTGGACAAACCATTGTCCGGGCAGATTTGGTGGTGAAACCCGAGCTGGTAGGGGCTTCAGTTTGGATGAAATGCGTCCACGGGGATGTGTGGCCGTACCCCACAGCCTGGGTGCGAATCACGGAGGAGGAGGAGAATGCCTTGACGGTGAAAGGAGGATGGACGGGGCAGGCCAAGCCACCACTGGGAACCCGCATGAAGAGACCGGACGGAGGGAGTAGCCCCGTGCTGGGACACCATTCTAGACTGGTAGGAGAATAAAATCTCAGATTTGTTTTGTTAATCCATGCATGAAAAATGCAATCAAGAAGTGTTTGCTAACATCAGACAGAGTGTCTTCCTGGAAGTTCAGCCCTGCTTATTTCATTTAAATGTTTTGTTTCTTTATTAATGGGGCATTATAACACCAAAACCAAACAAAACTCCCTGGCTGTGTCTACACTGGGTCACTTATTCTGGAAAATCAGCCGCTTTTCCGGAATAAGCTGGGAGCTGTCTACACTGGCCCTTGAATTTCCAGAAAAGCAACTACAAAATCAGCCGTTATTCCGGAAAAACTATTCTGCTCCCGCTCGGGCATAAGTCCTTATTCCGGAACACTGTTCCGGAAAAGGGCCAGTGTAGACAGCCCAGTAGTCTTTTCCGGAAAAAAGCCCTGATCGCGAAAATGGCGATCGGTGCTCTTTTCCGGAAAAGCGCGTCTACATTGAGCACAGACGCTTTTCCGGAAAAGGGATTTTCCAGAAAAGCAGCCTGCCAATGTAGACGCTCCTTTTCCGGAAAAACTGAAAACGGAATAGTATTCCGTTTTAAGCAGTTCCGGAAATTCATGCCAGTGTAGACACAGCCCGGCTACGTCTACACTGGCCCCTTTTCCGGAAGGGGCATGGTAACTTCAAAGTAGGAATAAGAGATTCTACGGAAAAATTTCAGCAGTCGTCGTAGGGAAATCCGCGGGGGATTTAAATATCCCCCGCGGCATTTAAATAAAAATGTCCGCCGCTTTTTTCCGGCTTTTAAAAAAGCCGGAAAAGAGCGTCTAGACTGGCCCCGATCCTCCGGAAAAAGTGCCCTTTTCCGGAGGCTCTTATTCTTACTTCAAAGTGCCCTTACTTCCTCCGGAAAAGGGCGCTTTTTCCGGAGGATCGGGGCCAGTCTAGACGCTCTTTTCCGGCTTTTTTAAAAGCCGGAAAAAAGCGGCGGGCATTTTTATTTAAATGCCGCGGGGGATATTTAAATCCCCCGCGGATTTCCCTACGACGACTGCTGAAATTTACATGCCCCTTCCGGAAAAGGGGCCAGTGTAGACGTAGCCCCCCTGTATAATAAATATAAGGCCAGACTGTGAACCTCCAACAGCACTGGAACACTGGTGAGTTGTGACTGATTTGAGAAATCCCATGGAAGTCAATGGTACTTTGTGAGTAACTAACTGTTCTCCAGTCAGCACTCATGGAAAGTGCCACGCTACACATTAACAACCAATGGTATTAACATATACTGCATAAAGCAATAGTAGCACAATTCCCATGGAACACCAAGTCTCACCTGGGGGGACCAGTGCTGAATCCTTGCTCGGGCCACTTTCTGCTTGTTAACTATGTTCATCAATTTGACTGCATCGGCCCCCTTCACATACACCACTGGCCTCTTCAGCGGGTCTTCGGAGCCCTGGTTCAGCTAGAAGAAAACACAGTAAAATTCCAGTAAGTAGATTTATTTCAGACCAGCAGCTCTCTTTTCAAGAGATGAAGAGGAATGCCATGGTAATGCCTATTCAGTGGCGGATTTAGAGTTAGTGGGGCCCTGTACTCAGCTTCATTTTTGGGGTCCCCCGGGGACCGAGCCAAGAAAAAGAACATTCACTCTTTCTGCCCCTCCCATTTTCATTCTTTTTTCTTCATCCTCCTCCTATATTATAATCAATAAGAAGTAAATGAAAATAAAGGGTGGTACCTTGATTGTTTTTGTAGTCTGACTTTTGTTTTCCCACAGACCACTTGAAAATTGGCGAGGGTCTCGGTGGACCACTTAATGATCTTTCCAAGTATTGTTTGTACCAGTAGCTAACTATTGTAAAGTGCTTTGGATAAGAGCGCTTTGTAAAAAAAACCATCATAACCTTTCCTCAGTCCACCTGAATGGAGCTCTCGGAGCACAGTTTGAGAACTTCTGGTCTAGATGAAAGCTTGTATTTGCATTAAGCTAATGTGAAAACTGTGTAAAAATAAAATGTATAGATGACGCATGAATGGAAAAATAAAAGTTAACTTCCTCTGAAGAAATGTATTGAATTTGAAAAAAAATATTTATTCAGATAGCTTTCTTTTCTACACTTTTTCTTTACAAAATTGTCAATTAAGTCATCAAGTAATATTTTGTAAAGAGGCACTTTCAATTGTCACTATTGCTGAACTTATCAAATGTTCCTGAGTCGTCATATTTCACAAATAATTTCTTACTCCTTTCAGTAAAGAAAAAGAATGTTCACCAGAAGCATTTGTGACAGGCATTGTTAAAAGTATTTTCAGAATGGTTTCTACCTTTGGAAAGGTTGCCTGCAAACTGTCATGTACAAGTCTATACAAATCAACTGGTGATCTGGAAGCGCAGACCTCACCATTTTCGATAAAATGAATGAAATGTTTCACTTCATCTTCAAAAAGATTTGTGTCTATGTCCTCTCAGTAGAATTCACTTAACTTCTTACTGTAGTGGCTTTTAGCATCCTCATCCATACTTCTGTCAAAAAAAATGCAAAATAAATCAACAGTTTTCTTTAGTCACCACTACTCTGCAATTGAACTGTTATTGTGTCACAAATAACAATGACAGTCTCAAC